AGGATAAAAAAGTCTTTTCAAATATAAAAAGAGTTAGTTTAAAAAAAAAAAAGAGTGTATTTTACAAATTTAGAAACATAAATAGGGTATTTTAAGAAAAAAAAATCCCTAAAATGAATCTTTTAAATTGCAAATAAAAATACTGTATTTCATTATGATCATCGGTTATTAAAAAAGAGTTTATTGACATGCTAAATATACTGCAAACATTCAATTAATGATAGTTGTTATATAAGTACTCATTCACAATTATATCATTGATCTCGAGTCTCGAGATATGTCCAATTGACCAATGTGTAATCCTCTGACCAGCGTGGTTTGATTTGGTTCATAGCAGATTGGTTTGGTTTACAATTGCATTGAATCAAGCATCGCTTGAATCAATATATATAGACATCACGACAAAGAGGAAAAGAGAGACTTGATTCAATCTTCTTCTTCTCTAAAAATCGATTTCTAAGAATCTCAAAGTAGGTTTGCTAGGGTCTCTATAAAGTGTTAATACAGAGATTGATAGTTGTATCCTGCAAGATAGACGCCCATTGAAACTACTTACACCGCGGTAGAGGCGAAATTTTGTCTTAGGAGATTGCGATTCGCAAGCCTCTATCAAACGTATTTTCCGATCATTCAACCATAGAAGAAGAAATCATCAAATGAGTTTTGTTTGTTTCAATTGTATTTCGTTTTGGTTATCTATTCATTAAGAAAACATATTTGTATACGAGTATTTGATCTGTATCTATAATTAAAAACAACAAAAGTCTAAGGAGAATTACCGTATAAGTTTCGCGTTTGATCTCCAAGAGTACGTATTACTAGGATGAACGTCACTTCAACCCAAAGTCCCTCAAGTATTCTCTGAGATACTTGCATGGAAGCCTTCACGATGTGGAAAATAATATGTAGCTTGGTAAAAATTAGTAACAAAATTCTTTTGTTGTAAATTATTAATATTTAGTCTTTTATATAACTTTTAAGTTTAATTCATTCTTGCATGGTGAACTTAATTGGGTCTATGAATGCTTCCACCAAATCAAGGAAAGGTGGGAAAAGATAAATGAGCCTACGAAATCTTCAAAACAACCTTCTAAGCAAACAAAAATAAAATGTCTAAAGGGGAACTAAGAAAGTTTGCCCTGACTCTGGTTGAAGAAAGACAAATTAAAAGTATTTTATTGTTTGGTTTACGGATTTGGTTTGCGTGTTTTTAGTAATATTTAGACAAAAGGTATTTTGTTGTTGTTATTTACGGATTGTTGTTAGGAACGTCTGTTAATATCTATTTTATTTTAATCGCGAGTATATTTAGTAGACTTTTGCATTTAGTAGACTTTAATAATTAGACTTCCAAGAAACAATGACTTTTTCATATTGTGAAAAACAAGCCATTGACCAAAATTCAATATGAACCACCTTGTGGTGAAAATCTAAATATGCAACAACACTTTGTCATTCGGAACTTAGTTGAATAAGCTAATCAACAGTTTTAGCTGAGATTTGCTCTCTTTTCTCTTCTTATTTTGGATAAAAGTTTATATGACATTTTAGCGCACAAAAAAATTATAACAAGTCTAGCGAATGTTACGCTGCAGTTTTTGAATGAGGTTCCACTTATTTAATTAGTGGAGTGGTTGCAAAAAGTTTAGTCACTGATTCTTAGCAGAACATATATGTGATTCTTATAGCTATTCTGCGAAAACTGTTCATAACTCTTATAATCATGTTACAGTAACAGTTTACACAGTTAAAGTCTCAACCAAATCAGCCCACAAGTCTGCTAAATAACCATTTTTAAAATAAAACATTATCAAATAAATACCTTATGGCATTTGAGTTATGTATAATGACTATGTGAAATTGATTGTGTTAGATAGCTTCTATTAGATATACATATTCGGCTTAGTGTTGGTTAATGTTGGTTTGTACATTAGGATTGATTTAGTTGGTTGTTCGATTGTATTTAAGCTTCCTCTTGTACATCTTTTTTTTACAATTAATAAATGATGAAACAAATATCTAAACGTTTCGTCTAATAACTCGTAACCGAACATATGATTATAACCGCAAGTGGAAAAACTCGAATCGATAAATCTTTTAGCATAAGATCCCTATAAGTTAATTGGTTGTGTTTTCATTTGGAAGGGGATTTGCGAAGCCAAATAGTCTGAACAAACTGGGAAGATGTGAGGTTGATGATCTAATGAATCAAAATTAAAAAAGCATGGACATTTGATCTGAAATACATTAGTGTAACTACACAGTTGTATTAAGGAAAGCTGAAGAAAACTTTTACTCACAATCTTCTTGACAGTTGAATATATAAGCGTTTAATACAATCATCTCCATTTTGATTTACATAAACTTATTACAAGACCCAAATCCTGATTACATCATCATCGGCATCATTATTATTCAGACACTAATACATTTTATTTATTACTTAGCATGCATATCTAAATTATGTTGATATCCTTCCTCTCTAGCTAAGCCGCCGGGATAGTGTAAC